CCCCCCCCCCAAAATTGGCAGCCCCCACCCCAAAATTGGCAGGAAGAAAATTGAACAGTTGCACTTTTCCTTTCCGGCGTGGAGAATTTAAAAGTAGAATCCGGCGCCCTCGAAGAAAAGCCGATGAAAAAAAAAAAAAACTCACCCTTTGGGTGGGGGAAGTCGTTGGGCGACTTGCCAAAAACACCGCGCCCCACCCCTTAACCCGCTATTTCTTTGCCCCACGCTTTTGGTATATGATTTTTCTTTCTTTTTGGCAAACCATTCCACAAGTTTCTTCTCTGCGGCAAGAAAGCGCCACACTTCCCCCATCGTATGACCATATAAAATGTTATCAAATACGGCCTTTTTAAACGATAAAAGATCAAATATTGCGTTCCATTTACCCACATTGTAAATGCCAAGTTTCCGAAGCAAATACAAAAAAAATCAGTATCTTTATTTTTCAAACACTTCCCGAAATAATTCCGCAGGTGGAAGCTCGGCTCTTGAGTTCATTTGCCCATCCTCGTTTTAAGCGCGCCGACAAGTTCTAATAATTTTCCCGCCTCCTTAAGACCACAAACAACCTTATCCGCAGACGGGAAAACCTGTAGCCATTGCTGCGGGGATGTATAAGCTTGGCAAAGCGCAAACGGTTTCATTCTTTAATAAATTCAAGCGCAACCACTGTTTCGATTTTCTTGTATGCATTGGGAAATTCTTCCCAGGGTTGGCAGCGAAACATGGGTCAAATAGAGACGTGATGGCCGTTGAAAAAGTATCTTTGAAAGGAAAAAGGATTGGGAAGAGGCATTCCCACCGCGCCTTTATTGAGCACATCATGTACGAAAGTGTTTTCCGCGCCATCCAACAAGCTGGTTCAAATGGTAAAAGCCACCCCCACCCCACCCAGCCCCAGTAAAGATATTGGAACCCAAGCTGATATCCTATGGCAAGGCTGGCCCTTGAGAAGAAAAGTTTTAGAACCGAATAAAAAAGCATGGTTTTTATCGTCTACAATGATAAAATAATTAGGGTCATTGCGCAGTTGGGCCTCGGCCTCTCATACCTCTCCTCCTGGTCACCCTTTGCTTCTGGCAGTAGAACCAGTCGAATCCTAATCTACTTTACAAATAATGTTATCGTATATATTTTTTGAGATGCTGGTCATTCTCTCCCTTCCCCAGTTGAAACAAAATCCAGAGACGAGACACACTCACCGAAAAGATGGCAAAGGCTTTCAAAAGGTTTTTTCCGCCCTGGCAGCAAGATTTCCCCCCTAACGGCGGGATGCCGCCCGCACCAGCCACGGCGCCATTAAACTTATTTGCGTCTTGTTTTGCCGCCTGCCAAACCCAATTGCCACATCAGAATGTAGCGATGTCTCTTTTGTCGGGCTCGGGGGGGCGGCCTTTTGCGAGCCTATCACGGGGGCGTTGGCGTTCGCGTTCGTTATTCGGTTGCGGGCCTTTGTGGACTCCGGAGCGCCGCGTCACCCTCATCATCGCCAGTTTTTTGGGGTTGTACTGGAAATGTGGGGTGGGATTGTTTTTTTTTTTTTTTTTTTCCAAACCCCTCAAACTGTTCTGGAACGTGCAACAACGAACCGTCACACTGTGAAACCTCTTTTTTCCCACGTGGGACCTTCCAATATCTGATTTCCCCAAATTGAAACTTGGTCCAAATGTTGCGACGCTGTCGTTGTTGTTCTTTTCTTTCGCCGGCAAAGCAATAAACCTGCTGACGCCCCCCTCCGCTAGCATTCCGAGCGAAGCGTTCGCACGGGCATGTTCTTCCCCATTTTTTTTTTCTCCTTCGCGCCTTTATGGACATTACCCCAGCGGAACGGCTATCAGAAGTACGCCGTAGAGCACCTTAATTACCAACTTACGGGTGGCTCCGAAGAAGAAGATCCCTTTATTTTATAGGACCCCCAAGCTCTTGTAATATGATTTTTGCCGTGGCCCTTTCCTATCCGAGAGAACCAGTCTACGAGAAATCTGATCGAATAAACCCTACCAGATCTCTCCACCCCCACTGTTCTTACCCAGAACCCGTCCGCAGGTCCCCTTTTGTTATTATTTTTGTTATTTTGGGTTTTTTTTTTTTTTT